CTTGGGAAATGTACACAGAATCTCGCGTGCACCAGGTCCAAGGGCAGAGGCAGTGATTTCATAGGAACCTGGGCCAGACCTGCCTGCTGGTTTTGGAAGGTCTCCTGCGGAGGTAGGGGGCAGCTGTGGCTCACCCAGTGGACATAAAGGCTGGTGTCAGACATGCGGGGAGTGTTCAACTACATGAGCTTTCCTGGAGGCTGACATCTTGCTTGGGTCATTAGCACTAAGAAGCCCCACCCAACAAATTGTAGGCTTAAGTGCTGGGAAACCTCAGGCCAAACAACATACTGGGTGGGAACACAACTCCACCCATCAGCAGATTTCCTGAACCCACAGCCTCTAGACACACCCCTAGACAAGACCCTGCCTACCAGAGGACCAGGACCAAGCTCCATTCAGCAGTGGGTAGGCACCAACCCCTCTTGCCAGGAAACCTGCACAAGCCTCTAGTCCAGCCACCACCCATCAGGGGGCATATACCAGAAGTAAAAAAACAACCACCCCACAGCCTGCGGAAGGAGTCTGCTAACACAGGCCAGAGTTTACCCTGGGACCAGCTGGACTCTGGTCCTTGGGTGACAAAAGGGGAGTGTACTGCTGGGATGCACAAGACATCTCCTACAGAGGGCCATCTCTCCAAGGTGGAGAAACAAAACTAACCTACATAAAAATACAAATAGAAATTTAGACAAAATGAGGCAGCAGAGGAATATGTTCCAGGCAAAGGCACAAGATAAAACCCCTGAAGAAGAAATAAGTGATGAGGAGCTAGGCTATCTACCTGAGAAAGAGTTTAGAGTAGTGATTGTGGAAATGATCAGAGAACTGCAGAGTGAAGTTTTTAGCAAAGAGTTAGAAAATATAAAGAATACCCAAACAGAGCTGAAGAAAACAATTATTGAAATGAATAATACACTAGAGGGAACTAAGAATAGACTAAATGAGGCAGAAGAACGGATCAGTAAGTTGGAACACAGAGTAGTGGAAATCACTACTGCAGAACAGAAAAAAAGAAAAAAGAATGAAAAGAAATGAGGATAGTTTCATAGAAGTCTGGGACAACATGAAGTGCACTAATATTCACATTATAGGGGTCCCAGAAAGCGAAGAGAGAAAGGACCTGAGAAAATTTTTGAAAAAATAATAGGTGAAAAGTTCCCTAACCTGGGAAAAGAAACAGTCACTCAAGTCCAGGAAGTGCAGAGAGTTCCACACGGGATCAACCCAAAGAGGAAAACACCACGGCACATAGTCATCAAATTGACAAAAATT